ATCTCTCTTTCAATTATTTAATTTAATTGTTTTGACTATTATTTTCCTTGAAGTTACTAACGTGTGTATTTTGTTATTAGAAAGAGGTACGAGGCATCAAAGTAAGTGCTTTAATGGTTTTAATTGATATTATGATGTAGAAATCATGCTTAGATTGTTATTATGATATTCCTAGTATCATGTCTAGGGAAATTTTAATATTAAATATGATTGCTATGATACCTTTTGTTCTCTTCCTAATATTTATGATTGTTAGTATCATGTTAGGGATAAAGATTTGATTTTTATTGTTTAGTGACATGCTAGGGTTTGTTATTAATCTTGTTAGTATCATGCCTAGGATCTTACTTTTATTGTGCTTTAACATGAATATTGTTATAATTATAATTATTATTGATTATTTTTATGTTGCTTGCTTATTCTTTATTGCTTGATCACCTTTTATTGCATGTTTAAAGGGAATTTGTACTTGTAATCATGCTTAATAAGATAATTAATAATCTTGTTAGGGTTAATTTGATTATAATTCAAGTGATCGCCAATAATAGTTTATTTGTGCATTAAATTCAACCAACATAGATAAACAGGTTTAGGGTCAATCCTATTGATTGCATGTTAATCAGAAAGCGCACATGAATACGATCAGAATAAAGTAGAGGCCTATTATTAGGGCAGGTTTAATCTCTTTTAGGTTAGATTTGTACCTTCATCCCCGAACCCTTATTTGGTTCATGACCTTATGGAGTTGACGATCTCTTGGATCGTTAAGGGGTGTAACCTTCACCTCGTGAATGGTTTACAAGTTCCTAAAAAACTTGTTGGCGACTCTTTTGCTCTATCTTCTTCCCTTTTGGACGCCACCGTACTTTAGTGTATGATCACAGCGGGGTTCAAGCAAGTGGGATTTTTAAAGGCTTGAAATTATTCCCTATAGTTTTTGGCGACTCCACTGGGGAGGATTTCTATTTTAATTTCTGAATTTGTTTCGGCAATGATTTAGAATGAGTGTATGAGACTCGAAAAGTTCTAAGTATTTCATGTGCGTAATTTTGATTAGCATTATTGTCATATGCATAAAAAGGTTCTCACTGGAAAGACCATCCGTAATGAGTCAAAAACATAGGATTTTACACGTAGGAAATTTGAGAAATGTCTTTCACAACTAGGACTGAAATAACACCGCGCAAAACTGGAAAATTTTATCGAGCACAGAAAGCTGTTGAGACATGCGGGAAGTAGCGTCAGGGGCCAGAGCTTGGCGCCACACTTTTAGCCGTAGCGCCAGACGCCAGTATTGGCGCCAGGCGCTACAGTTAAAAATTGGCGCCAGTCTCTGTTTACTGGCGCCAATTTCCCCCAATGCCGAGCCAGAAATATGTGTTCTAATTTCGACCGGTTTTTCGTATTGTTTGCTCGATCCTACTTCCTAACTGATTTTTTTCTCACTTTTCTGAAACCCATATGTGTTCTACATATGGACATAACCCTCTGGGAATTCATGCTCCATCTACCCGATTGAACGCTCCTGGCAACAAAGGGTACATCCGAGATGTTGAATTCACCAAACCATGGAAGTGAGTTTTTTCTAAAACTCGCGGTGTCCCATCCACTCGCGCCAACCCTTCACGGTTAGGCTTCCGTGCGGTGCATCTGGACAATTAACCATGGACCCTCTATTGACTAAACCATATCCCGAACTTTAGAGAACTAGAGCCATGGTTAGGTTGCGAACGCATTGCATCATATTGTGCCTACTTGACTAATTGTGCATTATTTGTTGTGCATATATATTCTATGTTTCTCTTAACCGTTTGTGATTTGTGTTGAGACTAAAATTAATGACTTAAAGAACTTTGCCTAAGTAATCAATTAATTAATTAATTTGAGTCAATAAAGTCTTTTTTTTTAATCGGAATTGACCTAGTACGACTTTAGGCACACCCCAGTTGACTAATAATACCAAAAACAGTCCCAGACCGAAGCTTCATTATTGGCGCTAAAGTCTGAGCTGTAGCGCCACGTTATAGTGTGTAGCGCCAGACTTTTACTAAATTGTTTGGCGCCAATCACCATATTGCGACGCCAGTTCTGTCGCTTGGCCGACAGTTCGGATTATTTGTCGAGTCATCACCTAATGTCTATTTAATCAGTTTTCTATTTAATTCGGTTAATTTTGCTGACAATAATGCTTAATTGAATCAATGTTCGAGTTTAGGCACTAAGTCCCATGGTCATGACACGGGTCTTAACATGTATATATATATATATATATATATATATATATATATATATATATATATATATATATATATATATATATATATATATATATATATATAAAACTAGCATGACCCCTTGAGATCTTCAAATCTTCAAAAGGTCTTCATTGTAATTTTCATGGCTACGTCTTCCAAATACTAGTATCTACAATTAGGACTAATCTAAAAATTAAGGTATACAAATACTCAACGGTACGCAGACCGTATTTAGATTTACAAAAATACATCACGGATCGCAGTCCGTATTTTCTATCCTAATCGGGCCCCACTAGTTGCCATTTAATAAAACTTGTGAGAGAATATACATTCCATTCATCCATTCATTATTTTTGAATGACCCATGCATTTTACAACAATAAACAAGTAACAATGCATAAACACGCGTGAACTAGTAACTAATCTAGGTGGTTAATCCAATTAACACGCCTAATTAAAACTAGTCAAAGTTGTTTAACCGGTTATGTAAATAAGCGCAATTAACATTTGAAACTCCCACTAAATTCCGCATCCAACTTAATTAATCCAATTAATTAAGCCGGTAAATCCCAAAATTTGTCAAAATAAATTTTGCCAATGCCGCTCAAAACCGAGGCCTAGCCTCCAAAATTTATTAAAATAATTAAAAAAAAATTAGATTAATAAAATAATTAAAACGACAATTTTTAAGCAAAAATACGTAGTCCAAAGTGTCTAAGTGCCTAGCACTAAGACATGGAGTGCTCACATTTCGCACAACCGTTTGATGTTCAATGAACGTGGGAGTGGACCTAATGTCGCTAAGCGTTACACCGCCCACATCAGCGAACTTTCACACATCAATAACGTGGCCCTTGATGGCCATGTTGAACGAATTCATTGCACTACATTGCTTCGCAAGCAACGTCTACGCATACCCCTAAATACACGACGCATACACCAAGTCCCAAGCGATGCACCATGTGCTCATGCTTGCACCAGCCGCGGCCAGCCACGCAAGGCAGCACGTACAGGCGTGCACAACATCTTGCTGCTACTGCGCCGTGCTGCTGCTTGGTGCTTGCTGGCACAAGCAGCAGCTACGCATCGGCTCGTGCGCAAGCTCGGGGTTGCATCCTTGGCAGCCACATGCGGGCTGCTATGCAGCCCGGCTAGCCAAGTGATGTGTTTTCTCGTTTTATGAGCCATAGCCTCGGGATTTTGATCCCAATTTTGTGTGACATAATTATTAATTCTAAATTAATTTTAGAACTAATTTATTTGAACAGAAATAAAAAATTTAAACAAGTCTAACTTAAATAAAAATTTTAAAGTGCATGTAACCAAAATAATTCCCAAGAACCACTCTTTAATTAAATTGGTTTAACTTGGTGCAACGAAAATAATAGGGCAATTACTCACTATTAATTTAAGTAATTTAAATTAACCTTGAGTTTTTGACAAAATAAGAGGGAGTTAGAAAAATGAACATAAATTCAATAAAGATTCCAACTTTAATACTTGTGAATCCTTGAAAAATTATATCTTCCAATATGAAGATAAACAATTTTTCTATCACAAAGTTTCAAACTTTATGATTCCAATCAACTAAAAAATGATTAAATTAACAAAGTTTAACAAAAATTCATGGAATTTATCAATATAACGTTTCAGTCCCTTAACATAATTAAAGATGAATCTTTAATACTTGGAAGCCTCAAAGAACAATAATTTCACACTTAATGCAATTAGTTTGCAATTATGTGAAAAATAAAACCAAGCATTCAAGCACAAATTACTACCAAGTAATCATGCTAAAGAAGTTTAAAATTGCATATAAAATATTTATTGAACCAATTACATAACCACCATAAATATGCAATTAATTTTCAAGGTTTAAAATTGCATATAAAATATAAAATATTTATTGAACCAATTACATAACCACCTCGAAAATAGCATTTCTGGTCGTTTTTTGGCTAAAAACCGTCCTCTGGAAGGAAAATACCATTTCCAGAACACATTTTTCACCCAAAATTCACTATTTTTGGGTCGAAATCTGGGTTCGGGCAGAAGGTATTTAAATACGAGGTTAAAATAGATAATACAAGCTACTAATCTAATTAGCAACTTAAATCAGAAAAATTAAGCCATAAAAATCACCTTGAAAAATATTATGACTTTAAAAATAAACGAGCGTGGCTCCGATACCGTTGTTGGGGTTTGGTAAGTCCAACTTACCGCGGAAACGACCCCGACCCAAAGAACCACTCGCAATTAATAAAACCATAAAGAATAACAAATAAACATAAAAGGATAAAATAAGAATTTACCTTTGACGAGTGCTTCGCCCTCAAAGTCGGGCTCTTACTTGAAAGCTTTTAGCCCCGCTCACACGAGAGCCTCAAACGATATCCACCCACAAAGGAAGAACACCGACTTTTTAGGTCCGCTACCTTGGAGTTAGCAAGGTCCGACCAAAACCCAAGTGTTAATGGAGTTTAAGAGTTTTTTTCCAAAATACAATGCTCTTTCTAACTCCCACTCAACAATTTTTCTCCAAATCCCAAGATTGGTATTTATAGAGAAAAGTGGAAGTGAGAATTTCAATCACATCAATGTGGGATCATGAAATTCCACAATTTAATTTAAAGCTAAAATAAATTAAATAGGCAAGCAAATAATAAATCAACAAGTGTCTTAGTTGTATCCATAACCCTTATAAAAGCAAAATTGGGTTGAGGAATTTTTACTTTTAGCAATTCTCTTATGAACAATGCTCGGACGGTTATGCCCCTGCCATAATATTTTTTTGTTCTTGTTGCATGCTGCCCTTCCCTTATTGCCCTCTTCAATTTCTTTTTGGTTTTATCTTTTGTTTTGTCGTCTTTTCCAGCCTTTCTCAGCTTCACTGTATTTTGCTCCTTTTTTTTCTCTCTCCTCATCTCCTCTCAATCTCTCTCCTCAATCTATCAAGGTAATCCTCTTCACTCAACCTCTCTCTTCTCGAATTCTAGGCCAGGTTCTTCATTTTGAACGCTAATCCTATCCCCATAATTCTTTGGTTGTTTAATTTGGTGATATTGATGGATTTAGGGTTTATTTCTTTGACAGGAGAACCCATCTTTCTCTCTCCTTTTTTAAAACCCACAAACTCCATTTTCATCCAACTCATTCCCAACACTGAGTCGTGCACTGATTCACCAAACCCAATCAACAAAAGCCTATGATCGCCGGAAAATGGCCACAGCATCACCAACATCTCCACCGTCTCATCATCCACGAATTTCAAGTATATCGCTTTGTTCGTCAATCCCGAGGAACGCCTTCATCTTGAGCATGCCCAGAAACATGGTCATTGATCTTCCTCCTTTTTCAGGTAATTTTGGTTTTGATTGTTTCATATTGAAATTGATTCTAAATTTTTGTTGATTTATCTTCTTACAAACCAGGAGGGAGAAACAGAAAGCTGAGCCCGAATATTGAGGAGAGAGGGAGTTCGCTGGAAATGGCTAGGGTAATTTTTCACGTAAATTTTTATTGATTCTATAATTTTAAAAAAAATTACCTTAGCCTCCGTTCAGGAATTTGATGTTTTGTGTGTTTTCCTTAAAATCTGTATATCCCGTGCATATAAAATATTTCTAAACTATCTATAGCTTTTCACTTAACATTGTATGAATTTATGTATTTTTGCAGGAGGAATTTGAGTAAGCTTTTAATCAAAAACAAGAAGAAAGAGAATCATTAAATGGTAGCTTCTAGTGCCAGAGCTTTCTTTGTTAGGTAAAATTAAAGAATCACTATATTTGATGTATATTCTTCATCTCTTTTATACTATACTGTGTTGATCAAATTAACGAAATAAACTGTTTAATGAATATTTTTACTTAAAAAGCTTCCATTTTGCTGGGACAAAAATCCCAATTCATGTTTTGTTCTATCTCTTGTTTTGCAGAATTCCTTGACCTAAATCATTTACAAATTTGCATACTTTTCTTTACATACCAAAGCAGTTTCAGGTATATTGGCTCTTATTTTATCATTTATATATTAATATTTTTTTTTGTTACTTTCTTATCATTCCTATGATTTAGTGAAAAAATAATTATTTTAGATTTAGGGGTTTTGGTTGAATTTGATACCCGTGTTTGGAATTGTGTTGTGTATCTAAGATTTTGATAATTGACTTTGTCTCACTTCCAGGAAATGATAGTTGTAGGTAATAATTTCAAGCCTTAAATCCCACTAACTTGAACCCCACTGTGATCATACACTAAAGTACGATGGCGTCCAAAAGGGAAGAAAATAGAGCAAAAGAGTCGCCAATAAGTTTTTAGGAACTTGTAAACCGTTCACGAGGTAAAGGTTACACCCCTTAACAATCCAAGAGATCGTCAACTCCATAAGGTCTAGAACCAAATAAGGGTTCGGGGATGAAGGTACAAATCCAACCTAAAAGAGATTGAACCTGCCCTAATAATAGGCCTCTACTTTACTCTGATCGTATTCATGTGCGCTTTCTAATTAACATGCAATCAATAGATTAACCCTAAACCTGTTTATCTATGTTGGTTGAATATTAATGCACAAATAAATCTATTATTGGTGATAACTTGAATTATAATCACAATTAACCCTAAACAAGATTATTAATTATCTTATTAAGCGTGATTACAAGTATAAATTCCCTTTAAACATGCAATAAAGGTGTGATCAAGCAATAAATAATAAATATATCAAGCAACACAATAATCATAATAATAAAATTATAATAGTCATAATAATAATCATAAATAAAATAATCATCACCAAAATAATAATAATAATAATAATAATATTCATAATCATCATAAATTATAACAATTATAAACATAATCATGTTCATGTTAATATTAAAGCATAATAAAAATAGCAAGATTCTAGGCATGATACTAACAAGATTAATAACAAACCCTAGCATGTCACTAAGCAATAAAAATCAAATCTTTAGCCTTAGCATGATGCTAACAATCATAAATATTAGGAAGAACATAGGAAGCATTGTAACAATCATATTTAATATTAAAATTACCCTAGACATGATATTAAGAATCAAAATAACAGTCTAAGCACGATTTCTACATCATTAAATCAATTAAAACCATTAAACCACTTACTTTGATGCCTCGTACCTCTTTCTAATAACAAAATACACACGTTAGTAACTTCAAGGGAAATAATAATCAAACAATCAAATTAAATAATTGAAAGAGAGATTAGGGACCAAACCCTCAGAAACTAAATCTTTCAAGTTTAGAGCGAAGGCAACTTCGAATATAGCTAGGTGTTTCTAGATCTTGTGAATGCGGAATTTTGTATTGAGAAAACAAAGTTTAGAGAAATAAAGAAAGAAAGAAGAATGGAAGAGAATTAGAGAGAATTGGTGAGTTGAAATAAGAATTGATGAAATCTGGTTATCGAAAACGGAGTTTTAATACGTTACTTATAGAAAAAATCAGCCAAAAAGATAAAATCAACAAAACCGAGTCTGGTGCACGCAAAAACGAGGTTGGCGCCAGGAATTGGCCATTGGCGCCAGGCGCCTAGTGCTAGGCGCCAGGCCTGGTTCCAGGCGCCAATGCCTGGAGTCACGCGCCAAGCCTGTTTTTAACGCGTTTTTGTTTTTATCATATTTTTTGATCCGGAAATTCAAATAAGGCATATAATATGTCGTTGGAAAGCTCTTAAAGTCTACTTTCCAACACAATTAGAATCAGATTAAAATATTTTGTAGATAAAAAGATATGGCTAAAATAGTGGAAGGGTGTCAGTTTTGGATAAAGTTTCATGTCTCATTCATATCTTTTTCGTTATAACTCGGATTTAATATTATAATATATCATTGGAAAGATAATTTCAAGATCTATCCAACCATATAAAATTTGGATAAATATTATGAGGCATGAAAATAAAATCTGAATATATTCCACTTCGTACAAAACAAGGATTCTTAAAAGAGTAGTTTTATTCAATTTCAAACTCTTTAAAACATAATTATCAATCCTAACTCCGTTAGGATTTAAAAGAACCTTTTAGAGTATTCTAAAAGACTATAATCAATCCTAATAGCATTAGGAATGATAATTAATAATAGGCCCTCCTCTAGATCATTGGGCCGCATATAAGGGTCAAACCGGGCCCAGTTTAGTATTTTGGCCATAACTTCCTCGATATTCATCGGAATTGGGCTTATAATATATCGTTGGAAAGGTCTTTTCAAACCCCATCCAACTACACCATTATTGGATCCTTATCATGGACCAACCAAACTGGATTGACTATTTTCTTAAAATAAGTTTTCAAAAACAAAGAGAAGAGAAAAGAATTAAAACTATCCGCAACACTAAACTTTCCACACTTTCACTTCATTCGATTATGATTTGACGTGAAAGTTACTCATCACTAGGTTTGGTTTTGAGGAGACACAAATGAGTGTCTACAGAAGCCCCCACTTTGAATGAGTTTGGAGAAACGCAAGTTTCAAAAACAAAAGTCAAAGTATCGATAGGGACGGAGAATGATTCAGAACGTTCTGCGATCCTAAACCAATCTTGTAACGCCGATACCTGCAAACTAATGTTAGTTAAACAGATAAAAGAGTTAAGAAACGCGTATCTTGCACCGTCGAGCACACGTCTCTGAAAGTAACTGATTTGCCGCTTTACTGTTGTTTTGATGACCTCCTACAAGCTAGAGAATGCCATCCCGCTTGAAAACTGCTACGCCCGTAACTGCTTCCAATATAGAAGATTGCTTCGCTTGAAACAATCCTCCTGTGCTTTGATAATATTCCACGTCCAAGGGAATACCATCGAAGATTGCTTATCTTGAAACAATCCTCAGTTGTTTGTGACAACTCTCCACAATCTAGGGAATGCCACCTTGCTGTTTCGATGTTCACTCGTCTCTAAACAAAGAGCTTCTTTTGGATATGTTCCAATTTCCGCTGTGATAGTCTTCGAAAAGATCACTTCTCGTTTAATGCTGCTATGCCAGTACATCGGCGCTTTGCTGCTTGTGAACCAGTATGTCGGTGCTTTTGCTGTGATGACAATCCTCTTTTCTTTGGGAATAGTTGCCAACACAACTCTTGTATGATGTATGACAATCCGATTTAGGGAAAGTTGTCAATGCTTCGTAACAATCCATCCTTGGAAATGTTGTCACGATGAAGCGACAATCCATATCTCGGAAAATTTGCCAAAATCCAATTTTTGGGAAATGTTGCCAATGCTTCGTAACAATCTTTCATAAGAACTTTGCTACGATCGACAATCCACATCTTGGAATATAACTCTTGAAAGCAATCCACCTTGGAAATTTTCCAACGCTATGCGACAATCCTTTTGGGGAAAATATTGCCACGATTGACAATCCGCGTCTCGGAACATTTGCAAAAAAGAGTCGACCGACAATCCACTTCGGGAAAATTTGCCACTTGCTGAAATGAATGACAATCCACGTTGAGGAACTTTTGCCGAAATTTATGATGAATAGAAACCTACGACAATCCTTTGGGGAATTTTGCTATAGGGAACTAGGTGTATGACAATCCAATCTCGGAAAACTTGCCAACGAGCCGATGAATGTATGACAATCCGAACTTGGAAAAACTTGCCAATAAAGAAGGAGCACGACAATCCATGCTTGGAAACCTTGCCAGAGATGACAATCCAATCTTGGAAAAATTGTCGTTGAAGAAGATACACGACAATCCATTTTTGGAAATATTGTCAGTTAGGGATGGCAATCCAATTTTTGGAAATATTGTCGTTTTAGTGCTTGCTTTTAAACCGATTGTAATGAGCCAGTGTTTTAGGCGCTTAAGCTAAGTGAGACGATCTTTCATCAGGTCGACCACTGATTGTGATTGTAATCAAACTGACTACTTAATTATGTCAAATTGCTTATAGGGGCTAACTAGCGTACCAAGGAACCCAAAATTGCTGTATGAAGTCGAAATCACCTTTCTGAGAGGCTTCGAGCTCTGTCGTTGCTGAGATATTTCTGGCGCCAAGAATTGGTGTAGGGTCTTCCCTATTCTGGTGCACCTGTATTTATTTTAGACTATAGAACTTTGCCAATCTCTTTAATTATCTTAGGTTTGACCTAAGGTTTAGCATTGCTTGACTCATTGACTCGACACGACTCAAGGCATAAACTTGACTTGATATGATTGACTGACTCGAGGTTGACTCGACTCAAAGTGAAATGACACATGTGACTCATGACCCGTGTGTGCATAATGTAGGTTGTGCGACTCGAAAATGCAAAAAATTTCCGTCATTTTTGTGGAGGATATCGACTTTCTCCCGAAAAAGAAAGACGCGAAAAAGGAATCGAAGTGATATTTTGAAGGTGCATGTTGAATGAGCTTAGTCAAATGTTGTTTGATACTATCTCTCAAGGTTCAAGGATTAATCCATCCTAGGCTATCTCAATGGTTGACTCCATGATGAAAGTATTTGGGTAACTTAGGCACGAAGGCTAAGCACTTCATACTTCGTGATGCAATGATTTTTATGAGTGATGTTGATATGATAAGGTATGCTTCAACGTTGTGTTAAGATTTCATGACAAAGGGTTCCTAAGGGAAGTATATTTGGTCATGTATGTGTGATGTGTGTGATAGTGACACTAAACTTAGGCCACAAAGGCTAAGTGTGTGAAAAGATATGATTGAAAAGAGTCGAATGGTGGTGACTCTTAGGTTAGGTAAGCTAATGATATAGGGATCAAGCCCCCAAGTCTAGCTCTAAGTGAAAAGGGATGAGCATTGGAGATCCCTTGATATGATCATGGTGTAAGTGTGTGAATGTGAATATGAATGCATGTTTATTACGGTCGCACCTCGATGTGAGGTTTCCTACGTATCCGTTAGGAATCAGGCCGAACATAGCTCTAGCCGAACCTCGCACAAGTGTGTGTATACCTCAAAAAGGTCTTTTAAGGGTTGTAACGCAGTTAGGCTAAAGGTTAT